AATTTTCAAAGCATTTACCGATTGAAATGTGCAGATGCAATGATCATAAAGACAAGGCAATGGACTTGCTGTTGACAAATTGCTGTGATGCAAACGATAGTGTTCAAGCAAGTGTGCCCGTTGATCAAAGGCTGCGCTACAAAGTTTACACTTTCAAGACATTGCACAAGTGAGTGTTGTGGCAAAACCTTAACTTTGACAGGAATCCATAGGGATGGGTTTTAGCAATAAATGTCAAAATTGTTAAATAAATAAATAAATGAAAATATGAAGAAAAAAAAAATCAACACACCAGTTTGTTGACAAGTTGAGAAAGCCCAGCCAGTTCTTTAGTCTCAGACTAAAAGACAGAAGATTTATATAAGTTATACTGACATACAAATCTGACTGATATCACAGACAGGATCATACACACTCAGGATCTACTATGTATGTTACAGTCTTTCCTTTAGGATTTTTTGAAGAGTGGCTTCAAGACAAATCACCACATGTGTTTGTTGACAACAAAAAAGCATGTAGTGAGACAGAGGATGCTGATATAGATCATAAACATATACAAAACAATATTATATAGCAGGCTGCCATTACTTATTGATCAGGGTTTTGGTTTTAGCTTACATTAAATTGTGGCTCCAGTTGCGGTGACACAGTAACACAAACGCATATATGATAATCCATCCCTCTACATATTGATTTCGCAACGGCTTCGATGTAAACAAATGCGTCCTAATATAACGGGGAAAAAAACGCGGAAAAGTGACCGGACTTGCATTTAACTTATTACAGCCAAGCACTGCTCCTTACAAGTGTCTCAAAGCACTAGAGGGCGCGGTTTATCAATAAACACATCTACGACGTTAACTACCTTAACCGTATAAACATTTTGCCATAAATTTAAATTCTTTAATGTTAGGCCATGACTCGGTGCAAACATGCCCAGACATGCAACTAGCTTGCCACCAATTTGCTTGAATTTAGCAAGGAACAAATAGCACACTAACTTTCCACTTTACGCAAAATTAAGTTATATTAGCCGGTGATAAAAAACACTAATTACAAGTGGATAAATTAATGCTAATAATACAGTAAATCTTAGGTGAACATGGAGGCAAACAACAAATAATGTCAACTTACCTGAGACTAGCACAAAACAAAGTGCAGATGAGAAGGTTGTGAAGACAAAAGGCAGTCCGAATCACGTCCAAATTCACAGACAGCGGTTGCCGCTGAACCTTTCCTAACCCAGAACGAGCCGTTAATTCGGCACACTTTTCAATTAGCAGGAAGTAACGTCATACAGACGGAAGGACCAGTCAAATGATTTAAATACACTGACAAAATTGAATTCAAGTTTTAAGTAAGAGTCACTTAAAGTTGAAAATAAGTTATATCAACTCGAACAAACTGAGGTCAATTAACTTTTTTAAATTCTTGAGTTAAACAAACTTTTTTTTTAACACACTGGCAATCACAGACTGGTAAAACATACATAGTAGTTTGCTGCAGATGTTAAAGGACTGCAGTTTCCTGAGGAAGTACATCCTGCTTTGTACCTTCCCGTACAGGTTGCTGGTGTGTTTTGACCAGTCCAGTTTGCTGTCCAACCACACCCCAAGGTACTTGTAGGAGTCCATGGCCTCCACCTCTGTTCCCTCTATTACGACTGGTCTCGGCTTTTGTCTGAACCTCCCAAAGTCTATAACCAGCTCCTTTGTCTTAGAGGTGTTGAGCTCCAGGTGGTTTGTGTGGCACCAAAGGGCAAAGTCCCCAAACAGGTGTCGATACTCCTCCTCTCTGTCATCCCTGATGCATCCGACTATGGCTGTGTCATCAGCATACTTTTGTATGTGACACAGCTCTGAGTTGTAGCGGAAGTCAGAGGAGTACAGGGTGAAGAGAAGATGGGCCAGCACTGTGCCCTGTGGGGCTCCTGTGCTGCTGACCACAGTGTCAGACATGGTGTCCTTCAGCCTGACATACTGCGGCCTGTTGGTGAGGTAACTGTGGATCCAGGTGACCAGGTGCAGGTCCATTCCCATGCTGTATAGTTTGTGCCAGAGCAGAAGGGGCTAGTTTGTATTAAAGAAGTCAAAGAAAAGGATCCTCACTGTGCCACTGCCCTTATCCAGGTGGGAGTGGGCCCGGTGCAGCAGGTAGAGAATGGCATCCTCCACACCGACATTTGTGTAATATTTTTGTAATGTCAAGCATAACAACATGTAGAAACTTTTAGAACGGTTTTATTAAAATAGTAAGCTGATTGTAACAACAACAAAGATCAGCATTTTCCTAACAAACAAAATATATCCCAAATGGTGATATATTAACATAAATATTTTAGTTTCGAAAACACTTGAAATAATATAACCAGAACATAACAAGTATGGGCCTCAAACAAATGCTTGTACTATTGCAAAAAATGGTGTCTATATCAGTTTGAATGGGACACATGCGCCTGTCTCTGACTGCACTGTCTGTTGATGCGAGGGGGGATTGTAGACATTGAAACACGGAGATCCTCTTTTACTGAGAGCCTTTGCCTCAGCTTATTTTCTTATGTATGTCAGAGAGGAGAAGGCCAGTTCACAAAGGTAGGAGGTGGGGAACTGTATCAACACACTGATGGAACTTTCTGAAATAGAGGGATACTCCTGTCTTACACAGAGCCAAAATGTATCCAATGACAGTTCACTGTGCTTTAACTTCAGTGTCCGGTCTGCTTGCAGCTCTACAAGCTCATCCTGCCGCTTTGTAGTCAAAAACTTTGCTTCAGATTTTGTGGCAAGATTGTGAAATGGATCTCGAACCCAGTAAAACTCTGCATTTGTTTGTGGGAAATAGTTCTCAAACCTTTCTTCCAGTTTAGTCAGGTGAGCAGACACAAAGTGGAAAAAACTGCAGTCTTGTAGCATTGCTAGTTGTCAGTGGAAACATATCAAGATTTTTTTTAGCCACTCTCTGTTGCCACTGTTCTAAATTTTTCCTGAAGCCATTGATTTTGTCTGTTGCTGTGGGAAGGGTTTCATTTTTACCCTGCATTTTTGCATTTAGCTCATTCATGTGTTAAAAAATGGCAGCTTGGTAGTTCTTCTCTTAGTTCATAAACACGGGCCAATGTTTTACCCCCTGATAACCATCGGACCTGTGTACTAAGAGACCCAGATGTTAAGGCCATTTTCCATAAAGTAATAATTTGTGACCCTGTATATCTCATCACCCGTGGCATGATTTTTCAGTGCCTTACAAAATAAGAAGTTTTCTGTTATGCGGTCCTCATCGTTATCGATCAGGTGACAAATGGCACTTGCATCGGTGGAATCGGTGTAATCGGTGGAATCATCTTGAAATTTTCCGCTCTGTTGTAGTCTGTCATAGAGACTGGGTTCAATGTCCCCGGACATATCATCAATGCGCCGTTTGAAGGTGTTGTCAGACAGCGGAATCTTATTGATTTCTTTGGCAGCGTCTGGTCCTAGCATTACTTGAACAATGTTTTTGCATGCCGGTAAAATGAGCAATTCTGCAATGGTGTGCGGCTTTTTTAAGGGTTAGGGTTATTTCCCGTTTCCCTGCCACGTAATTCATTTTTGGTACACGTTGTCTAATTTCCTTGGCCCCGTTTTCCCGCTGGTTAAAATGCCCAAGGGTGCACACTTGGGGATGTTCGCATGTACAGGGATTGGACACCTCTCATTTTAGTATGGGAGGTTTCATTTCTAAATTTGACCAGCCTGGTGGCCAATCTTCATTAATTGCACATTGAACCAATAAGAGCAGACTATGAAGGTCCAATTAGCAGGGTTAGAGCACAGTTTTGCTCAAAATATTGCAATGCACACAACATTATGGGTGACATACAAGAGTTCAAAAGAGGACCAATTGTTGGTGCACGTCTTGCTGGCGCATCTGTGACCAAGACAGCAAGTCTTTGTGATGTATCAAGAGCCACAGTATCCAGGGTAATGTCAGCATACCACCAAGAAGGACGAACCACATCCAATAGGATTAACTGTGGGCGCAAGGGGAAGCTGTCTGAAAGGGATGTTCGGGTGCTAACCCGGATTGTATCCAAAAAACATAAAACCACGGCTGCCCAAATCACAGCAGAATTAAATGTGCACCTCAACTCTCCTGTTTCCGCCAAAACTGTCCGTCGGGAGCTCCACAGGGTCAATATACACGGCCGGGCTGCTATAGCCAAACCTTTGG